TCCATCTCAAAAAAAAAAAAAAAAAAAAAAAAAATCAGTAGTTTTCAATAATGGTGAAATATTCCAAATAAGGATTTAATATTGATTCAGAACAAGGATAACTAAAAGATTATAAATGAATGGAATAGAAATGTTCTGAATAAAATAGATGATTAGATTTGTTTTCCACTTCATTGAGAAATAAAAAAACACATCAGTAGGGAACTTAGTTTTAACATTATGTTTAACATAAATGATTATACCAAAGAAATAGACAGGGTAAGAGTTTATTTTTGAGTTTTCTCCTATCCCTATAGTGGCCATCGATGAGACCTGGGATTCTCAGTCTGTGTCGCCATGGTGGCAGCAGATGCGCACAGCCTGTATTCAGTCTGAGAATAATGGAGCTGCTCTATTGTCTGCACATGTTGGGCATTCTGTTGCTGCACAGATATCAAACAACATGACAGAGAAAAAAGTAAGTGGGCAAAGGTATGGTGTTGATCTGTACACAGCCATAGGCTAAGGGGATGCTTTCCTTTTCTGGGTTTTTTTTTGGTGGGGGGGATCGGGGAAAGGGATGAGAGGTGCTCCCCTTAATTTGTTTATTCAGCATGATGCCATCCACACTTGAATTTAGCAGTTGCCAATGGTAGTATCCTACTGTGTTTTTTTCTCATCTCTTGAGGACTCAAATTTTCTTTACAGCTCATGGTGGATCAAATAATTTTTTCCAGGGGGATGTTACATTCATTTAGATGAGACACCTAAATAGGTCTGTGGAGAGTCACTTAACATTGTCAGTCACTCTTGTTTATAGGCTCAATTTAATATTGCCTTATTTAAGTGTTCTTTATGATGAGGAGAGATGAAATTTCATATTTTTTTTAAGTTGAAGAGTGTATTCTGAAGAGACGTAAGTATTTTGATTGGTACTGATAGATAAAATTGTGGCCCTTGCCAAAGATGGCCAGAAAACTTCGAAATGTACTCTGATTGAATCGGGGTCATTAGTGCAGGACTCCTTATAAATATCTGAAGTCACCATCCTTGCCCATGAGTCTCCAGTCTACTCCTGACCCTCATGTTTCATCCAACCCAGTAGTAATACTTGTAAAATAGCATTTATGTGTTGCTTTGTGATGTATCCTCAGTATCCATCGTCTTTCAAGTTAAAAGCTCATATGAGTTAATATTGATTCAGAATCTTTGACAGAGAATCACCAGTACATTTTTTATTAGTTTTCCCAGACAGTTTTGGGTGCGGATTCAGAGGCACTCACTGATTCCTGGGAAGCCCTTTCTCTTGACACTGAGTACTGGAAACTCCTTCTGAAACAGCTGGAGGATTGTCTTATACTTCAGACTTTGCTTCACAGCAAAGGGAACACTCAGACCTCCAAAGTGTCATCGCTGCAGACTGAGCCACTTCTAAGGCTTTCTGTTAAAAAGTTATTAGAAGGAGGAAAAGGTAAGCTGAGTTTATTTGATCATTTGCATCCATGTTTTTATGTTATGAAGGTTTCTTTTAATAGAAATGACTGAAAGAATAGGGAAAGAAAAATACACTCAGATTTTAAAAATAACAATAACCTACTATATACTTTCTCTAAATTAGTTTTCTCTAAAGTCTCATTTGGTCAGTTCCACACTCAGGAACTGCTAGGTGCATCCCTCTGCCTAAGAAAATGGCAGTGATTCTCAAAGAGTGGTCAGAGGACCTCAGGAGTCCTCCTTTTTTCACCTACATGTCTGTATAGGTCAGATTTTCCTCATATGCGTCAACCAAAACAACAGAGCACAATAGATTGAATGTCAAAGCTGATTGGGGATTCCAGATAGAAGCCAGACGTTACACAGATGTGCAAATATGTAAAGTAGTGCCACTTTTCTCACCAAATATCCCTTTTTTTTTTTGCACTGGGAAATGTAGTTTTGTTTTTGTTGTTGTTGTTGTTTTTTTTTAATACTAAGTTCTGGGATACATGTGCAGAACGTGCAGGTTTGTTACATAGGTATACACATGCCATGGTGGTTTCCTGCATCCTTCAACCTGTCATCTACATTAGGAATTTCTTCTAATGCTATCCCTCCCCTAGACTCCCACCCCCAATAGGCCCCAGTGTATGATGTTTCCCTCTCTGTGTCCATGTGTTCTCATTGTTCAACTCCCATTTATGAGTGAGAATATGCAGTGTTAGGTTTTCTGTTCCTGTGTTAGTTTGCTGAGAATGCTGGTTTCCAGTTTCATCCATGTCCCTGCAAAGGACATGAACTCATCTTTTTTTATGGCTGCATAGTATTCCATGGGTATATATGTGCCACATTTTCTTTATCCAGTCTATCATTGATGGGCATTTGGGTTGGTTCCAAGTCTTTGCTATTGTGAATCGTGCTGCAGTAAACATACGTGTGCATGTGTCTTCATAGTAGAATGATTTATAATCTTTTGGGTATATACCCAGTAGTGGGATTGTTTGGTCAAATATAATTATTTTCATAAAATATTAGCATGTAATCAGTTTATTATTTTCATTTTAAAATGGACTAATAAAATATTTTTTAAATTTATCAGTTTTAATTTTTAGTACCGTAAAGATTGACAGCTATAACTCATAAGCCAAAGTTCTTTGGGGTTGCCAATAATTTTAAGGGGATCATGAGACTAGTAAGTTCAAGAATTGCCTTTAAATGCCGTAAGCACAAACTCTTAAGCTTGCTCTCCAAAAACTTTTGACTTTGAATCCAACTGATTTTTCTATTTCTTTCATACTTGCTTCCTAGATTTTAGTTAGAATAAAGCATCCATGTGCATCCTGTCTTAGATCTGGGCCTATCCTCTTCCCCTTCCCTGCCTCTCTGTCATGAATATCGAAATCTTACTCATCTTTCAAGATCCAGCTCAAATGCTTCTCCTCCAAGAAACCCTTCATATTCGCTAACTGCAAATTTTCTCTTTTTCCCCCTAATATCCATAGAACTTTATTTCTCTGTTCTGATGCGTCACTTTCTACTGTCCTGGAGTCATTTGGGTTCCTGTGCTTATATCTTGCAGGAACATAAACATCTTACATTTTTAGTTGTCGTTGGGTGCTCACACTTTTTATCAGCAGTTCTTTTAGGCATTTGATACTGGAAGAACTGTGTGTAAGCTTTATAAATACCCACATATTTATGGATTTTTATTTAGCTTACTCATTTTCTCATTCCTTATAAACTCATGACCATTTTTTTATTGTGAATTCACCATACGTCATGTTGCCACCTAGTGAAAGTGTGAGGATGCTATTTGAATATTAACCTAAGCAGTGGAATCAGGGGTTTAATTCTGGAATGAGAATTTTCAAATGTTTTAGAAGAAACATAAGACTTGAGGTCACCCAGCACACTGCTCACATTTATTTTCACTGATAATTGTAAATTTACTGTGAAGCATTATTTTTGTGGAAGGTTGTTATTGGAATCAAAAGAAGAGGAAAAACTGAGAGAGAAAGTTTTGGTAAACCATAGAAGAAGTGTAATTTGTTTTCGATAATTAACAGGACTCTTTAAACATCTGGAACATTTTTCAGCATATGTTTACAATTTTTTGTACTATATTGATGACTGAAACTATGACTGTACTACATTGATGATATATGCTGTTGATTAGCTATGGCTAAATTAGGCCCATAAATATTTCATATAGGCAAATTAGTTGATTATTAAAAGTGATGTTGGCTGGGCACAGTGATTCATGCCTGTAATCATAGCACTTTGGGAGGCCGAGGCAGGTGGATCACCTGAGGTCAGGAGTTCAAGACCAGCCTGGCCAACATGGTGAAATGCTATCTCTACTAAAAATACAAAAAAATTAGCCGGGCATGGTGGTGTGCACCTGTAATCCCAGCTACTCAGGAGGCTGAGGCAGGGAAATCGCTTGAACCTGGCAGGCAGAGGTTGCAGTGAGCCGAGATCATGCCATTGCACTCCAGCCTGGGCAACAAAGCATGACTCCGTCCCCCCCCAAAAAAAGGTAATATTATATTGCCATTAGGAGCCTAGGCAAGTGTCATACTAAACAATCTATTTTCACTTATAATTTAAGTAAAAGTGTTTTAAGGATATATTAATTTCTTTGTTTTTTGAGATGGAGTTTCACTCTTGTTGCCCAGGCTGGAGTTATAACGTTATGATCTCGGCTCATTGCAAACTCCACCTCCCGGGTTCAAGCAATTCTCCTGCCTCAGCCTCCTGAATAGCTGGGATTACAGACATGCACCACCACGCCCGGCTAATTTTGTATTTTTAGCAGAGATGGGCTTTCTCCAAGTTGTACAGGCTGGTCTCAACTCCTGACCACCAGCCTCAGCCTCTCAAATTGCTGGAATTATAGGCGTGGGCCGTCGTGCCCAGCCAATTTCTTTGTTTTTATCTGGTAAAGTGTATTTTAAATCTGTGGACATAGAAAGCGTATGGTATGCGCATGTGCATTTATATTCATCTAATATTTTCTGAGAGTATAAGGATGCCCTGACATATATCAAAATATATACCAAAATATATGTCAGGGCATCCTTATACTCTCAGAAAATATTAGATGAATATAAATGCACATGCGCATACCATAATAATAACAAAATATCCTGCTTGTTGCCCTCACAAATTGCGTGGTAGGTAGTAACAGTGCTGTAAATCTCATGGCTTTTTCGAGTCACCTTCAGGCTCAGAAATAAATGTGGCACTTAAATCTCTTCATAAGGAAATGTAGGTTATGAACCATCTTGGCTCCCATTGGCAAACACTGCCATGTGTGTTGTGAATTTTATTTTCTTTCTTGTCTCCAAACTATAGGTGGCATTGCAGACAGTGTAGCCAAGTGGATATTTAAACAGGACCTCAGCCCTGACGTATTAAAACTGGCTAATGAAAAAAGAGATGTAGAAAACCCAGATGAACCCAAAGAAGGTGTTAACAGAGGTTTCCTTGAGGTATCAGAGGTGGAGACAGACTTAGGAGCCATACCAGGTGATATACAAATAATGAGAAATATGAAATCCAGAGTAGAAATATGTGGCCAAATGTCTGTCAAGGAGAAAAATAACATCACTGCTTTCTTCTGACTTTCAGACCTACTGCATTTAGCATATGAGCAGTTTCCTTGTAGCCTTGAGCTAGATGTGTTGCATGCACATTGCTGCTGGGAGTATGTTGTTCAATGGAATAAAGATCCAGAGGTAAGATTCTCGCTACGTCTTTCATGTTATTTCTGCTTCTGCGTTTATGCTATTTGTATGTGGGGACTGTAATTAACGAGCTTTTTCTAAACACTGGCTTTTTTCCCGTTGTAATACCTCTGTACTAACTAGGGTAGACCTTTTTCATATATTTCTTCTTATAATCCTCACAGTAAACCTGTAACATGTAGGTACTGTCATTATCCCCACTCTGGAGAAGAAAAAACTAGGGCTCAGAGAATTTAAGTTTCTTCCCTGCAGGCACACAGCCAAGTTAAATATCAGGATTTAAGCTTAGGTTTCTCTTTATCTGAAACCTGTACGCTTTGCCCTACTCCCTAGTTAGGTTGTGACAAGTATATTGTTTATTACTTTCTGAATTCCTGCATGAAATTGCACCAACCTAACAGAATATTCGTTTTTTGTTTTGTTTTTTTTTTTGAGATGTCTCAACCTGTCACCCAGACTGGAGTGCAATGGTGCGATCTCGAGTTACTGCAACCTCTGCCTCCTCCCGGGTTCAAGCGATTCTCTGCCTTAGCCTCCCAAATAGCTGGGATTACAGGCGCATACCACCATGCTTGGCTAATTTTTATATTTTTAGTAGAGATGGGGTTTCCCCATGTTGGCCAGGCTGGTCTCGAACTCCTGACTTTGTGATCTGCCCACTTCGGCCTCCCAAAGTGCTGGGATTGCAGGTGTGAGCCACCATGCCAGACCCAGAATATTCTTAATATTATAGTCATCATGATAGAAGTCAAGAGTGAAGGTCCTAACATCAACCTAGTGTCTGTTCAAATATATCTGTATTTGTCGGTTACTTCTATTTGCCTCAGAAGAACAAAGAGGCATGTTGTGCCCAAGACTGCCCTTTCAGTTCTCTGCTGAGGCGTTGTTTTCTATTGCTTTTGGTAGCCACTGTTTCTACCAGGGCATTTGCAGTCTAGAATCAGCATAGTGGGAAGGCCCCAAGCCTGGAGACAGAAGGCCAAGATTTAGATCCCAGCTGAATTGCTGACAAGCTTCTGGCTCAAGAGAGTCACTGAATCTCTGGCCTGTTATTTTCTACCTTTTTCTCCCTCCTTTTTAAAATGAAGGTGCCATGATTAAATAACATATAAAAACATACTATAAATATTCCTCTTTGCTAATCGGTCCATCACTTAAACCTCCCTAGTCAGTGCCCTGGTAAATTATTCCTCTCAAATCAAAATTCTTAACCTTTATCATCCTTGTATGAGGTGGCACTGTAGAGAACTCTCACAGATGAACTAATTCATGCTAATATATTAATGGAAACGATATTCTTCCTTCCTCCAAAAAACTAATCCCTTACGTATTAAAGGAAGACGTTACAAAAGCAAGTGATTTAAATAAAGAAATAGTCTTTGATCAATTAAACCTTGACCAAAAAATGATTTTAGGACAGAGATGCCCCTCAAATCACTCCCTTGAGTTGACTACAGCCTGAATGGCAATCGTATTTAGACTCTCTGCTTAAATGAGTTACTTTTCCATTTTATTAAAAAGAAATGTCTAGAATAAGAACATAATTTCTAAAATCGGAATGAATTTCAGATTCAAGTCTAAAAAAGTGGCATTTAAGAAGAAAATTCTGCTTAATAGCATTTGTTTTTTTTTAGATGAAATTTCACTCTTTGTTCCTCAGGCTGGAGTGTAGTGGCGTGATCTCGGCTCACTGCAACCTCCACCTCCCAGGTTCAAGCAATTCTCCTTTCTCAGCCTCCCAAATGGCTGGGATTATAAGCACCCACTACCATACCCGGCTAATTTTTGTATTTTTAATAGAGACAAAATTTCACCATGTTGCTCAGGTTGGTCTTGAACTCCAAACTTCAGGTGATCCGCCTGCCTGGACCTCTCAAAGTGCCAAGATTTTAGGCATGAGCCACCATACCCGGCCTAAAGCATTCATTTATAAACCAAAGGCAGCTTGCAGAGAGGACATAGACACAGCTGACATCAAGCCCCATGGCTGCTGCATATAGCTTATAATAATTATAGCACACAGTTTCTGATCTCTTTGTTTCAACTTTCTCCTAAAATGAGGGCTATAATAGTAGTTAACTCAAAAGGTTATTGCGTTTTTTGAGAAAATGAATGCATAGTGCATAACATTTTGATTAGTGTTATCATTCATATTGCTTACATTTAAAAGAAGTTGTTTTACTTGTTTTTCCTGTTAAATATTCATCTTGCCCCATCCAACCACTGTCTCAACTCCCCCATTTGACACACACAATTTTGTAAGGCTCAAAACAATAAAATTAGCTTCAGACAAATTTCAACACAATATGTATTGGCAATGATATGTTTGATGATGATGTATAAGCTACAAAATTGTTTAGCAGAGATCTGGATGATTTCATCAGTGTTGCATACTGTAAGTTTTAATATGTAAACTACTTTAATTAGAAAGAGCTGAATTTCAAATATCCCATCTGATATTTCATATTTCCTTCCCTGCTTTAATTTTTTTCTCTTTGGCACTTACCACTAACATACTAAATATAATGTATTTATTTATTATGTTCGTTGTGTAGGTCCTCACTAGAATTTAAACTCAGTGAAGGCAAGACGTTGTTTTGTTCATTATGGAATCAGTGGCGCTTCAAATAGGGCTTGATGCAGAGTAGATGTTCAATAAATATTTGTTGAATAATGAATGAATTGTATGTACAAAAGCAAGCTTATTGTTTTTACATCTGTATGAAATTCAAGTATTTATTGGAGAGAATATTGCTATGATGTAAAAACCACAGCAAATTTGAATTCAGATGTTAGCCCTTATGACCTAGGAGCTGCTAGGAATTAATCATTGTATAGGTAATGTGAGTTGAGTAGGGACAGTTTATCAAAAGTTACTTCTTACCCAATAATTTCATGTTGTTATTGCAACATTCTTATGTAGCTTTATGCAGAAATTTATGTAAGAAGTCTCCATTGATAATGGTAAAACCTATTAAATGATACCTCTTTTTCTTTCTCTTTTTTTTCTCCGTGTATGGAAGGAAGCACGTTTTTTTGTTAGGTCAATAGAACACTTGAAGCATATTGTTAATGCACATATTCAGAATGGTAAGTAAACAGATATTAGAAACATCACTGGTTGATTTAAAAGAGACTTCCTGACTTAAGAGGATGTGAATTTACAGATTCACAACCTATTAAATTTTTATTTTATTATTCTGCAACCTAACATATTACTGTGTATTGGCTTAGGTGTAAGGGTCACTTGAGGCCAGTGGTTCAAGGCTGCAATGAACTAAGATCGTGCCACTGCATCCAGCTTGGGTGACAGAGTGAGACCCTGTCTCTAAAAAATAAAATAAACAGTACTGGCCATGTTAACTACTGGGAAAATGCTATTTAGAAAGGGGCAAAAGAACTGGTAGTAATCACTACTTCTGTTCCCCAAGCTGACTACTATTCCTGGGAATAATTAAGGCAGCTGTTCTGCATCTGTCTTTCCAAGGAAAGAGGGAATCAATGATAGCTGCAGAACAGCTGCCTTAATTACACCCTTCACAAATAGTGAAGGAAAGAGGGATGGATTTCTCAGGACTGTAATTCATAATGAAAAATTGTGATAGCCAAAAGCCTAATAAGATTAGATTGTAGCAACTATCTTGTGCTTCTTACAAAGGATGTGAATATTCTCCATTAGCTGCCAGACCTTGGCAACTACTAATGTCTCCTTAAAAAATATTGAACTTGTAAACAGATTCAATTTAATAGACAGATGGGTTTCATTATAGGAATTGAGGTTATCAGCACCAAGCTAGTTAGTAACCTTAATAATGATGAGACTTGGTGTTAGGCTGGGTAAGAGGAGGTATCACCTATGTCTCTGTGATAAATTCTCGAGAAGCTACTTTTTTTTTTTTTTTTTTTTAATTGTACTTTAGGTCTGGGGTACATGTGCTGATCATGTAAGATTGTTGCATAGGTACATACATGGCAATGTGGTTTGCTGCCTCCATCTCCCCATTACCTATATCTGGCATATCTCCCCATATTATCCCTCCCCAACCTCCCTACCCCCCACTGTCCCTCCCCTAGCCCCCCGCCACCCAGAAGCTACTTCTTTTTCACCTCTATCACATTCTTGCAGGTGGTATGTAATCCAGTTGCAGAAATTTTAATATGTCCCATTTTACTTGAAGAGAACTTGCAAATTACTTATTCATCTCTTAGATCTTACATTCATCCAAAAAGAAAAAATTTACCCTGACTCATTTGGAAAATATCATGCTTAAATTACTGTATCCTTATTAATAAAATTATTAAGTTACTGACTTCAGACTAGTATTTCTTTAAGTCAGACTTTTACCCATTTATACCTTTACCGATCTAGTAAGGTTCCTGGCTTCTCACAGCCTATGAGGGACCTTACTCATGGACTCACTCAGCTGCAAGGGTAGTAATAACAGCATGTGAAATGCCATGTTTATACTGCCTAATTGACAACTGTTTCAGAAATTTAATTTTAATGCCACAGCTCAGTTAGTAGTGAGTGACAGGGTCTTGCTTTATTACCCCAGCTGGAGTATAGTGGTGCATTCGTAGCTCACTGTAGTCTTGAACTCCTGAGTTCAAGCTGTCCTGTCACCTCAGCCTCCGAGTGGGTCTATAGCCATGCGCCACCAGGCCTGGCTAATTTTTTAAACATTTTTTCATAGAGATGGATTCTGGCCATGTTGCCCAGACTGGTTTTTTTTTAAATAAATTTTTTAATATTTTGTTTTTAGTACTTTTTTATATATTACTTTAATTTGTAGTTATATATGAAAAAATCAATTGGCAGACATTGGGATTGTTTCTAGTGTTTGGCTGTCAGGAATAAAACTGTTCCCAACAATCTTGTATATATCTTCTGGATTCATTTCTCTTATGTGTATACACAGCAATAGAATTGTCGGGTGATAAAGCACCCAGCAGCTTCCCTTGTGGTTTTACCAAGTTATTATACCACCAGTAATGCATGAGTGTTCCATTTGTTCCATATCCTCATTAATACTTGGTATTGTAATTAAAAACTGTTTTAGCCTTTTTGGTGGCTATGTAATGCTTTCTCACTGTGATGTTCTATTTCTCTCAGAACTAATGATTTGACTCTTTTCTTCATGCTTATTGGCAGTTTTGACATGCTCTTATACAGTCCAGTTCTGATTTTTATTAAAGATAAAGATTTCATTAACTTTGTAGTATTACATAAGATATAAAAAAAGAAATCAAAATAAAGTCCATATAGTTTAGTGAACTTAAGAAAGACAGTAATTTGTTATATGTAATAAAAGTGAGAACATATAAGCATTCTATTTACTACTGTACTTTTACTTGCTGTCTAGGCATTGCGCTGATGATGTGGAATACGTTCTTAGTTAAAAGATTGTCTGCTGCTACATACTTAATGGATAAGGTAAGGTAGTTTCATGTATCGACTTCTTATTTATTTGGTTCTCTTAATTGACTAATATTTGAAAGATTGGTCACGTTAGACTTTGTTAGACCCTTTTTTAATTTGATAATTAGATTTTACTCACGCTTAGTTAAATGTAATGCCCAGTACTGGTATTTTAATGACATGAAGAAGAGCTCTAAATCCTCAGAGTCTATTATATTATAAAAGCCCCTTAACTAAAGAAATTAGGACTGGTGGTTGATTCAAGCAAGGATTTGCATTTTATTTCAAATTAAAATGTAGAAATTTACACTTACTGATCTTTGATATAAGGCCAAGTTTTTTTTTGTTTGTTTGTTTTTTTGAGACAAAATCTGTTGCCAAGCTGGAGTGTAGTGGTGCAATCTTGGCTCACTGCAACCTCTGCCTCCTGGGTTCTAGCGATTCTCCTGCCTCAGCCTCCCCAGTAGCTGGGACTACAGGTGCACGCCACCATGCCCAGCTAATTTTTGTATTTTTAATACAGATGGGGCTTCACCACGTTGGCCAGGATGGTCTCAATCTCTTGACCTCGTGATCTGCCTGCCTTGTCCTCCTAAAGGGCCAAGATATTTTCTTTGAATGGAGTTGATTACAGTTCTCCTTTGGTTTTCTTGCAAAAACCTCACCCATGATGCATTGCCTATCATGGCTGGATCTTATTTTTTTGAAGTTGTTATGTAATCTAAGTTATAACCTTTAGATTTCTATAATTTTTGTAGTTCCTTTCTCTGTATCTAATCCAAAAGACCTAGGAGTTATTCTCCTCCATAAACCTTTGCAAAGCATTCAACATAGCATTCATGTAAATAACTCCCCTTTTTTTCTCATTCATATTTCATCAGTTACTGAATTAAATGACATAATTAACAGTTACATGTACAACTAGCATGAATAGCTTTGGGAACAAACATAACATGTAAGCTTAGAACTCAACTGATGGGAGCAGAAGCTGCTGAGGATAACAGCCTAGTCTCCAGCTGACTGGCCAGGGGCACTAGTTAGTATGTTTTACAGGCAACTCAACAATGCAGATTAATGTAGCATCAGATGAGTGGATGTTAAGAGAACTACCACTGTAATAAAAACATATTCTTTTAAATGTATCATCACAGTCATTTCTGCACCATTAATAGCACCACAACCAAGACCCAACTGTACGCCACTACTCCCCTTGAAATTGCTTTCTTTGATGTTTTTGATAACATATTTCTAGTTAAAGCTAACCCATCTTTCCTCTGTGCTCTTCCTCCCTGACTGCTTAGCTTCTTTCTTGGAACTTGCATCTTTTGGCCTTTATGATGTTGTTCTCCCATTCAGCTTCACCTCTGACCCCCTCCTCTTTCGAGAGAGTAACAATAAACTGTAATTTATGTGTATGTTACAATTTTTAATTTCATAGCATTCTCACATCCACAGTCACATTTGATCTTCACTACTTTGATTGGGGTGAAAATAGTCCTAAACTAGGAAGCAGGAAATTTGTGATTCAATAAGTCTTTATTATAATGTGTGTTTCTCATGTGCCAAGACTATGCTAGGTTCTGTGATTGAACCAATGGAAGTTACAGTCCTGGCCCTCAAAGAGCTCACAGTTTGAACACCAGGTAAACAGACAATAGGGAGTTTTTGGAGCTCAGAAGAGTAGGAAATAAATAACAAGACAAGGGGAAGGCTTCCAACTTAAATTTTGGTGGATGGCTATATATGAACCAGTAAAAAGTAGGTGAGAAGAAAGTGTATCCCAGCAGTCCTGGAGATATGAGGCAACTGGTTGGATTCAGAGAACTGTAATTAGCTTAATATTGCTGGAACATAGGCTATATTAGGAGAAAAGAGACGCTCAGATGAAGAATTTCTTGTGCAGGCTGTGGATTTGGATTTTCTGGTAGTATGTGTAACCTTAGCACAGGGTCTGGCACATTTGGCTCAGTAAATTGTAGCTATTATTTTATATTGAAGACACTGGGGCAATTTTAAGCACAGGAATTAAATATTCAGATTTGTGTTTAAAAAGATTGTTTAGGCAACAGACAAACTATCTTGGGATTGGGGTTGGCTGAGCTTGGTTGTTTCAAGGCTGCTGTGGTAATCCCAGCAAGCGGTAACAAGGTCAGGTTTTTCTCCACTGTCTCCTGTGAGTTTTCTCTCATCAGGTAGTATTTCTGAGGGCAGAACTTTTACCTCCCACTTATTACACTGTAGACATATACAGTAGAATCTTAATAAGTACTTACTGCATAAGGAAATCTTTCTGAGCTAGAATATAACTCTCATCTGCTTTAGAGTGTTTTTCCTTTCTATTTCAAATGATTATATCTTTATCAACAAGCCAAACTCTTAGGTGTTCTTGATTAGTATCCATGAGTTAGGCTCTGGGTTTTTTTTTTTGTTTTTCTTTGGTGGGGGTGGGATGAAGTCTCACTCTTGCCCAGGCTGGAGTGTAGTGGCGCAATCTTGGCCCACTGCAACGTTCACCTCCCGGGTTCAAGTGATTCCCCTGCCTCAGCCTCCCTAGTAGCTGGGACCCCAGGTGCATGCCACGACACCCAGCTAATTTTTGTATCTTTAGTAGAGACAGGGTTTCACCATGTTGGCCCAGCTGGTCTTGAACTCCTGATCTCAAGTGATCAGCCCACCTTGGCCTCCCAAAGTGTGGAGATTACAGACATGAGCCACCATGCCTGGCCTAAGCTCTCAGTTTTTAGGCAACACAGTTATTTGACTGTACAAAGTGAGGGCCAGATTTTTAGCGTTTTTTTCTTATTTAATAGTTCAGAAACAAAAAAAAATAGTTCACAAATACGTAATTTATATTTGAAAAGGATTATTCTTGAACCCAATGTGACATTAAGTTTAACCTCAAATTTAATTGCATCTACCATTGTTAGAGACAACAGCTAATTAATGAGGCTGCCACATTTATTTATAGATGCATTTATAGTTTTTAAATTTGGTTACTTTTTCTTATCTGTACCATAGTAATGTCTTATTTAAATTATTAAATATTACAACATTTTGTCTTTTTATTTTAGGTTGGAAAATCACCAAAGGATAGGTTATGCCGAAGGGTAAGTGAATCTCCCATAACTAGAGTTACAGTTGTTAATTCCACACTTCATATAGTATTTTATTAACTGTAGGGGTGAACTTTGCCTTTTACCATTGTGATGACGTATCAGGAGGAGATAACAAAAATGAAAAGAGAATGTATTGCATTAAGGAAACTGGTCATGAACTATGGCCAATTTTAATTTACTTTTCCAGATTGTTAGATAGCATATTTAAACTAGGTTTTTATAAGATGTGTTCAACTTTGGACTGTGGACAGGATAACATGCTACCATTGCTGCATATTTTTGCTCTAATTCAAATTAGACATTTATAATAGAAGCATGCAACATCAGCTGGGCGTGGTGGCTCACGCCTGTAATCCTAGCACTTTGGGAGGCCGAGGCGGGTGGATCACAAGGTCAAGAGATCGAGACCATCCTGGTCAACATGGTGAAACCCCATCTC